GGTCTCTCACTTTTATAAGTTCTCCTCCATTTGCATATTGCAGTTAATTTCCCATTCCAGCTCCAGCCCATGCAGCCCCACCCTGCTTGTTTTTCTCTCTCCAGCCCACGTTGTTTGTGCCCTTGGGACTGAGATTTGGATCAGTTGTCCTTGGTGCCCAGCCAGAGCAGGAATTGTTTTGTCTCCCTGCTTTGTGAACAGAGCTCAGCATCCCCTAACGTGAAGCCCAGACCCACACACTAAATCTGAAAAAGAGAAAAGCTAAACCTGAGGCATCAGCTTTGTTCTCCCCCCACCCCATTCCTCATGCCCATTTTCCTCCCTGAGCTGATCCCTGTCCCAAAGGGGCCCTGTGGGACCGGGCTGGCCCCACAGCAGGTGACAGGCAGCACCAGGAGGGACAGATGGGACATGGGAAGGAAGGGAAGCTCCTCCCTGCTCAGCCCAGCGCACAAACGAGCCAAAGGATGTCTGGGGACATCCTGCTGGAAGAGATGGAGAGCTCCCCATGTGTGTGCTGATCCCTGTGTCACCACAGGCACCGTCCCTCTGTGTCACCATCCCCAGGGTGGCTCTCAGGGGTCACACTGGAGAGGAGAAGCTGGACAGGGCCCTTTTCCCTCCCTTTTTTCTTTGTCTCTCCCTTCCTGTCGAGACAAACACTGCTGCTGGAAGAGCTCCAAGGTCACAGCCAAGGAGTTTGCTTTTCCTGAGCTTGAGTTTATGAGGCCTGAGAGGGCTCTGGCACTTGGCCCAGCAGCCTCTCCAGAGCCAGGTGAGTTTGTTTGGACTCCCTGCAGAAAAATGCAGGCTGGAATTCCAGGCAGATTGCAGAGAGGTCACATCTTAACCAGCTGTGTGCAGGAGGATTTTGTGTCTCTGCTGGGGCTGATAAGGGAGGTTATCATCTTGGTTAGGGGATGGTGGTGCTGGAGCCTCCCTGGGCATTCCAGAGCTGCTAAGCTGAAAAGAGAAAAAGAATGAATAACAAAGTTCTGTGTCTCAGCACAGAGTGAGACCCAGCTCTATTTTGTTAACTCTGCCTTTTAGGCACCCCTGCCTCATTTCATGCCCCACCAATGAGTCCCCTCTTGTGGGAAATGAATTTGTAGAAATTTCTCCAAGTTTGATATTTGTTTACAAATGCATACTGTGTAAACATTTTTGTTTACATAGTATGTAAACATACACACTTTGTGAACTTACTATTTGTATGTAAACAAATATCAAACTTGGAGAAATTTCTACAAATTCATTTCCCACGCCCTCTGAGGATGTGACACCTTCAGATGTGATGCTCCAGAGGGGGTTTGGTGACAAGGGCGGGCTGTGACCAGTAAATCAGATTGTGACACTGGTCCTGGGCAAGTCCCTGGGCTTTCCTTTGGAGGGACAGGAGGAAGGGGACTCCCAGCTGAGGTTTTTGCTGATCTCAAAATCACCGAGTACAAATCAGCTTGATCACAAGTTCCCTTCTGGCCAAATCTCTCGGGAAATCTTTTCTGAGGGCCAAAATCTTCTGGGAAATCACATCTTGGGGCCACATGGCTTTCCTGAGTGGTTTGTAAAGCCCTGGGGGTGGCTGTGAGCTCATTTGAGCACTTGTGCTGTCCTTTGCCATGGGAGAACTTGTGCCAACTGCTCAGAGCTCCCAGCCTCAATCCAGCTTGAAGAGGTGAGCCTGGAGAGCTGGGAAGTTCCCAAACTCTGCAGGGCTGTGGCCTTGGGGAGGGATGGTTGAGGTTTTTTGGTTGCTGCCTGCCAGGAACGTGAGCTGGGAGGGAGAATTTGGGTGTGGAGAGCAGAAACTGCAGCAGCTGATGAAGGATCTGCTCTGCTCACTTCCCTCCTCACTCTGTCAGCTGGGGAATGAAGGGTCTGTCAGCACCACGAGGAGCTGTGAGGGGATTTCACTGATTGCTGCTCCAAAGCCTTCTCAGCCAGCCTGTTCCCAAAATGAGGACTGGGAGCTCTCATCTTCCAAAGTTCTGTCCCAACCTCCTGGGCTGACAATCCCTCCCACAGGATTTCCCAGGTGCAGCATCCCAGTCTTTTCTGGGAAGGGTGATGGAAAGGGGGATGAGGAACATGCTCATCCTTTGTGCAGCTGATCCCAATGGAAAAGGGGATGAGGAACATCCTCATCCTGTGTCCAGCTCATCCCAATGGAAAAGGGGGTGAGGAACATCCTCATCCTGTTTTCAGCTGATCCCAACCTTGTCTGGGAAGGGCTGATGGAAAAGGGGCAATGAGGAACATCCTCATCCCAACCTTGTCTGGGAAGGGATGATGAGAATGGGGAGAGGAACATCCTCATCCTTTGTCCACCTCATCCCAATGGAAAAGGGGGATGAGGAACATTCTCATTCTGTGTCCAGCTGATCCCAATCTTGTCTGGGAAGGGAAGATGGAAAAGGGAAGGAGGAACATCCTCATCCTGTGTCCAGCTCATCCCAATGGAAAAAGAGGATGGGGAACATCCTCATCCCAATCTTGTCTAGGAAGGGAGGACGGAAAAGCGGATGAGAAACATCCTCATCCTTTGTCCAGCTAATCCCAATGGAAAAGGGGATGAGGAACATCTTCATCCTTTGTCCAGCTGATCCCAACCTTGTCTAGGAAGGGAGGATGGAAAAGCGGATGAGAAACATCCTCATCCTGTGTCCAGCTGATCCCAATGGAAAAAGGGATGAGGAACATCCTCATCCTGTGTCCAGCTGAGCAGGGTCCCTCTGGCAGTGTCACACCTGCTTTGTGTCACAGCAAAGGTCCTGCCTGGCTTAGCCAGAACTGAGATTTCTCTTGCTGTTCCTTTTTTTCTTGGAAGATCTGCCCTGTTGGTGCTTCCAAGGGTCACATTCCTGGCGGAGGGAAGGTAACAGATCTGTTTTTGTGGATAAAACCACCACGAGCCTGCTCGGGTGCCAAGTGCAATCTGAGCTCTTTGGGTTGCCTGGGCCACAAACATGATGAATAAAACTGTTCCTCTTGGGGAAAAAAATCTGTGCTTCTGACAAGATTCCTGGGGGAGGCTGCCTCCTGATCCGTGCTGGAAGCGAGGCGCATGATCTGGGAGAGAGCTGCTCACGAGTCGTGCTGGGGAAGTTCTGATCCCAGAGTGGAGCAGATGGAAATTTCTGCAGGAAAGGGCTGAGCTGCTGCCTAGAATCTGATGCTGCCTGCTCTTGAGCTACCAAACTCAAATCTGGGAGCTCCTTGCCTGCTTTGGGAAGGGTGGTTTTCATTCCAGCACCTCCTGCACACCGGGCCAGCCTGGAAATGGGGGCTCTGGGGAGCTGTGCTGCTCTGCAGGGTTGGGTTTTCCTGGGGGCTGTGTTCTCCACATCCTGCCCATCTCCTGGAATGGCTTTCCCAGGCAATGATCTCATGGTTCTGGGAGCCAGGCTCCCCCCTGGCTGCCCTCACCCTTCCCTCTGAGGCCGTCTGGAGCAGCTGGAAGCGCTCCAGGATGGGCTTGGAGCAGCACCCTGGGACAGTGGGAGGTGATGGGCACCAAGGTCCCTTCCACCCCAAACACTCCTAAAATCCTGGGGGAGCTTGAGTCCTGAAAACTCCTTTTCCAGGAGTGGTTTTGGGGAAAAAAAGCCCTTTTTCGGGGGAAAAAAATCCTTTTTTGGGGGGTGCTTTTGGGGAAGAAAACTACTTTTTCAGGAAGAAAACTCCTTATTTTCCTGCTGGAAACCAAGTGATAACAGGGTCTGGCAGCTCGGGAGCAAATAGGGACCTGCAGCTGCCCTCGGGGCAGTTCGGGCTGAGCTCAGAGCGCTTCAGGGCTGGAAATCACCACGGCCAGAAGTGAGTGTGTGTCTTCTCCCTGTAATTACCCCTGTAATTACCCCGGCAGCTGCGTGGCCAAAGAAAGGTGAACCCACACACACAAAGAAGCGCCGGGAAATCCCTGTGGCTCCTTCAAATCCACCATTAGCCGGCTCATTAATTTATTTTTGCTCCTTTCAGCGTGCCCCCATTGCCCTGGCCCTGCTCGTCCCTCCAGGAGCGGAGCGGGGCCGGGGCCGAGCTTCAATCGCCGCTTTAAAGGGCGCAGCTGCGGCTCCTTCCCGGTGGGCTTCTCCCATTCCGGTCACGTCCCGGCTCGCTCTCCGTGCTCGGAATGCCCCGCTCCTCTCATTAACCAGAGCCACAAAGGCTCCCGGGCCTCCCCGGGGGCACCTTTGCGACAAAAAGGTGACCGTGCCACCCGCGGGGTGTCCTTTGGGGGAGCGGCCGCGGCGCCGAGGTTCGGGATGCTCGGGCAGGGCTCACTTTCCTGCCGGTGACATCCACTCGGGGATGACGTTCCCCGCCACGTGTGCTCGGGAGAGGGGGTGTGACAGCGCGGTGACACTCGGGTGTCCCTAGGAGTGGCCCTTTGGTGCTGGCCCTGCTGCATCCCGCTCCTCCTGGATCCAGCTGTGTCGCTCCCCATCCAGCTGTTCCCCTCACGCCGCCGCACCTGGCTCACAGTACACCCCCGTGTCACACCACCCGCTCTCTGCCCCTATTCTCGGCCCTATTTCCGTTCCCCTCTCACTCGTCCCAACCTCGATTCTCCCTCCGCAGCCCCCGCGGGAAGTTCTTGGCAAACCCCAGCCCAGCTGCGACTTTTCCGCGGGGCACAAATCCACCAACCCCCGCATCTTCCCCTCACCGAGGAGAAGGATGGAAACCCCAAAAAAGACCCCAGACCCTTGCGGTGGAAGCTGTGTCGGATCTCAGGTGCGTTAAGCGAGCTGCTGAGTGGTTTACCCCATCTTCCCTGCGCAAGGCCCGCCCTTCCCGCCCCATTGGCTGCGCCCGGCTCCTCGCAGCCTTTTGTACGCGGGGAGATGCAGCTGTCAGCCCTCCCGGCTGCCGATCCCCGCTCGCTCCCGGACTAGGAATGGGCAGGAGCAAGTCGCCTGTTGCCCTCCTGGTGGCCCTGTGGCTCTGCCAGCTGGGCGCGTGGGCAGCGGGGCGCCCCAAGGTGAACCCCAGGATCATCGCGGCTCCCCAAGGTGAGTCCCGGCTGCGCCCTCGGCGTGCGGCTGCTCCCCGCGCCGGCCCCTTCCTACCTGCGGCTCGTCCTTTGAGCACTCGGGTTATTTCTATTTCTTTTGTGTCCTCGGGGAAGCTTTTGGCTCTCGTTAAATGCCTGTGGGCTGAGGCTGTTGGTTTTTATTTGGGTTTTTAGACCGTTCTTTCTTTTTTCTTTTTTATGTTTTAAAAGCATTTTCCTGTGAGCTGGGGATATTAAAGGCTGTCGAAAAGCTCTTTTCCCCCCGTATCTGCTGGGTATATTAAAGGCTGTCAAAAAGCTCTGACACGTTTCCTAACTTGCAGCTCTCCAGAAAGCAGAAGTATATATTTACATAGTTAATGCACTTATTTATCTGCTTGAACTCGCCCTACTCGCTGCAGACGAGTTCGGGGAGTAAATATTTGCCGAGGACCGCTGCTCTCAGGGGAAAAAATTTACAAACGGCACGTAAGGACTTTGTAACCAGATCGGATCTGGGCGAACCCGAACAAAGAAATGTTTTCAAGGCTCCGAGCCTGGTGTGTCGGCGCTGGTTTCATCCCGAGTTTTGGGATGAATCCCCTCCGGGCTGGCTGGAACAAAGACCCCGTTGGCTTTGCCGGGCGGGCTCTGCAGCACAAGGGCTCCTCTGTTGCTCCCCATTCCCTGGCAACTTCCGAGAACGCCCATTTCCCCCGCTTCGTTCCGTGCCATCTGTTCTCCTCCGCTGGCATTTGCGTGCCCTTCCCCGGGCTGGCAGAGCGGGGAGGGGGGTGCTGGCCGTGTGCGCGGCTCGGGGGTGGCCTCTGCTGTCACCTTGTCGCACAAAGGGGAGCGGCACCGGCGCGCAGGGCAGCGGAGGCTGCTCCGCTATGGCGTCACCGGCGCTGGCTGCGGGTGGAGGGGACGGGGGCTGCTGCTCCGGGGACATTCCCCCTGTTCCCCACAGCTGGAAATCGAGGGACAGGGAGGGACGGAGTGGCCGATCCCCACCTGTGTCCCTGCACAATGCTGTCACCCGTGTCTGGGTGGCACTGAAGGCTGCTAGCACCTGTCACGGAAACCAATCAGAACATTTCACCTGCTCTCCTTTCTGTGCCTGTAATTATTTCTGAGAACTCAGGAGGGCCCCGGGCTAGAGTGGGACTGCAGTCAGGGAGCGATAGGAGCGAGACGTGTCCTATTTCACATCTCCTTGGTGTCACCTCTACCCTCCCGAAGTAGGGCAGTGGGTGAGCGAGGAGGAGGAGGGTGAGGAAGCGGACTGGGGGTTGCTGTGACCACGAACCCCCGCTGAACTTCCCGGTGGCCCGGGCGCACTGAAAGCTCAGCATGTTCTGCGTTCCGGGCTCAGCACGTGGCTGCCGCAGCTGCAGCCCGCTCCGA